GGGGGGGGGGGCAGGGACAGAACGACCATCCCGCCCCAGGACGACTGCGGGATGGGGAAGGGTGTGAGTGTGAGTGTGCTTCGGTGTGAGTCTGGGAAGGGGGTGGGGAGTTAAAAAGCTTAAAGACCTCTTAAAAAAAAACCCCACACCCAGGTTATAAACTCAGACACCTCCACCCTGTTAAGAATTCCCGACTAGTGGATAGAGGTCGGAGGGGGAGGAACATTCATCCCTCCCCACCTACAAGACCCGGAGCTGGAGGACCTTCTTGGACCTGCCTTGAGCCCCGGCGGGGGCCGCGGCCAGCCGTGATGGGGCCGGGCTAGGCGCGGGAGTCCTGAGCGGCCGCGAAGAGGCGCAATCCACTCTTCCCCTATCCATCTCGGGCATCTCTGGTGCTAGGGACGGGTGGTTCGACGGCGTCCGAGGCCCAGGCCTCTCCTGCCTCCCGCTCCGAAGACAGCCGGAGAGCGTGCAGCCGGAGGATCTCTAAGCACGCAGGAGTTGGAGATCCTCTGGGGTCAGAGATGGAGGAACTGGGAAGGGAGGGGATTCCCGGTGAGTATCTGGAGGGGATTCTGGGGGAGTCTTGAAGAGCCCAGTGTGACGACCAGCTCCGGTCCTAACCCTCTGACCAGACCCTGTCCAAAGGGCTGCTGTGGATGCCCGGAGGCCTGGGCCCTGGGGGATGAAGCGAGAGAAAATAAGAGTTAGCGGAACTGCACAACTTTACAGCACTATTAGTCCAGAGAGGTCTCCGCCCCCGACCCCCCAGATTCCAGGTCTCCTGGGTTCCTAACACCCCCCCCCAAAATTTCTCCATTTCGACCCAGAGCCAGGCACGTGGCTCTCTGGCGTCCTCTGCTGGTGTGAGATGGCCACAACGCCTCTTTCCAGAGGATCCTGACACTAGTCTGAGCGGTCCAGATTCATGCACACACAGCTGAGGACGCAGAAGCGCAGACAGGAAAACACACAAGCTCAGATTCAGACGCACGGTGTGCACGAACCCAGAAAGTCCTCCATATGTCCGAAAAAAATATGTACAGGCAAATACATAACTTAAAAATAGACCCCTATGGGCCAGGGCCAAGAACCCGAGTTCGATCCCTGGTACCAAAAAAAAAAAAAAAAAATAGAGCCCTACCTAACCTAGAGATACAAGAATACAATCCCAAACACGCAAATACACACCAATACACAGACGGACAAGGGCCTTTCATTTATTCATTCATCAATCACGCCTTCCACAGACATTTTTCCGGTGCTGTGTTCCAGTCACTATCCTAGGCTTTAGGGATACAACAATTAAAAAAATAAACAAAACCCTCCCTTTTACTGTGTTCTGGAGGGTAGAGAGAGGTCATAGAAAAATATAAAATACACCAGGTTATGGTGAATGCTATGGAAGACAAGGCAGGATAAAACGAACAAGAAGAGAAAGAAGGGAGCCAGGAATTGCCATTGTAGGAGTAGTCAAGGAAAACTGTTCTGCTAAAGTAACGTTTCAGCACAGACCTGAAGGAATTAAGGGCTTCAGCTACTCAGGCATCACATCTGAGGTAGAATATAGCTGATAAGTGGGGACAGCAAGCTCAAAGGTCCTGGGGTAGGATTCAGCAAGTAATCAGCCTTTTCCCTCTGAATGGAGGTGTATGTAGGGGAGGAATGGCCCAATAGTGATGTAAAAAGGTAAGAAAAACCCCTTAAGAGAATGGAGAATGTGCTTAGCTTAGTGCTTATTGCGTGTCTTTTTGGGCTTCCGTTATGTAGGTGTAATAGCTATTTTGAGAGTAAGGAAGGCCTGGGCTGTTGAAGGTTTTAACCTCCCTTGGGCTTTCTACCTCCTTGCAACAGAGAAGCCAAATTTCTCCAACTCTCTAACAAGCAAAACAGCAATCTCACCTTTCTTCCCTGGTCCCTTAACTTTTCTTCCCTCTCTCCCTTTAATTCCAAATTCTCACCAATTCAGTGCCTCAAACTCATTTCTCCAGAATTGCCTCCACACAAGCCACTTAGCATCCCAGACCCCAGAGTGTAAGACCCCATCCCCACCTAGTGATCTTCACCGCCAGTGCTGCATTAGAATCTCCCAGGGGGCTTTTAAAAAACAGTTCCAAGGCCTACCCTAAAATGATGAACTGTTCTGGAATGCCGCCCATGCATCAGGGTTATTAAATATACCCCCAGGTAATTCAAATAGGCAGCCAGGGATAAGAACTACTGAGCTAAGCAAACCTCTGCTTTCCAGGCATTGCCCTCAGCAAACCTGCACACCACCAAGAAGCCCTGTCCTCTTCTTCCACCAGCATTTCTTCTATTATTTGTCCTACATCACCTCCCTCCATCAGGGGCAACCCAATTAAACTTCCTCAGCTCTGCTGCATTCTCATCTCTCCAGCACTAATGTTCACAGCTCTGCCTTACTGGATTAAACAAGTCTCCTGGAGTCTAATTACATAACTATCAAGTAGGAGCATCCTGGGGCTGAGTCCCCAGTATCAGGTCAGTGCAATGAAGACAAAACCTATGTCTTTTTCATCAGACTAAATGTGTCTCCTTAGGACAGGATATCTGCTTCCCCTGTTGTGTTCAGTTTTGTTGTTGTTGCTGCTGTGATCAAATACCTGAGAAAAATAACAGACAAGGAAAGGTTTATTTTGTTGCTCAGGTCCTGAAGTTTCAGTCCATGGCCAGCTAGCTCCATTGTTTTAGGCCTCTTTTGAGGTAGAAACATCATGGCAGAAGAGCATGGAAAGAGGCCAGAGGCCCGATTTAGTCCTCAAAGTCATGCCCCCATTCCCTTCATTGATGCCCCGTCTCCTTTTCTATAACCTAACAATGCCATCAAAGTGTGATCTCACCAATGAATCAATCCACATGGTGGAGTTAGGACTCACAATTCAGTCACTTCCCCCCAGAGCCCACCATCTGGCAGCCAAGCCTTTAGCACATGAGCTTTTGAGAACATTTTAAATCCAAAGCATAACATCTGCAAACTTTGGGGCTCCCTGAAGGCAAGGACTATACATGTCCCTTTAGTCTAGAGCCCTCTGGGGATAGAGAAAGAATGGGATCAACCCATCCATGAGGTAGCAGAGTGACTGAGGGCAAGAAACATGGACACTGAGATCAGACAGGTGGGGTTTAAATCCAGGTTCTGCCCTATACTTGCTGTGTGATATTGGACTGTTGATATACTTAATTTCTCTGATCCAGAGTTTGTTTGTCTGCAAACAGAATTAATGATAATTGCTTTTTAATGAGGAGCTATGTTTTGGGTGTCTGGTGGTCTACAGAGTGGCAGGACTGGGGGGCTGTGGAACCTTTAAGAGCCAAGGACTGCTGGGAGGTCCCTCAGCTACCAGGGGCATGAAGTTCTTGTGAGGGTTCCCTTCATAGTTCATAGCACAGGGATCTTCAGGAAGGAGCAAGCTCCCTCTAGCTTCATATTTGAGAGGTGACCCCTCACCCCCACAAGACACTCCTGCCATGGTGTGACATCATCAGCTACCCTCTCAGGGGCTGTCTGATCTTGAACCTTCACAATTATGAGCTCAATTAACCTCTTTCCTTCATAAATAGTGTGTCTCATGTACTTGGTAACACAGAGTTGACTAATACATGAGATTATTGTGAGGACTGAGCAGTTCAATATCCATGCAATTCTCAGAGCAGTGTTAGGCACACAGAGAGCCCTCAGTAAATGCTAGCTGTGATTATTTTTGGTTTTGGAGTTCCCTCAAGAAGGGACCTTCTGCCTCTTCTTCCTGTGGATTTGTCTCCATCCCCTGCACAGAGCCCTGCCTAGACAGAAGCATGGAAGTGTGGAAGCAGTGCTAGTCATCCCAGGGATGCTACTTCACCTAGAAAAAATAGAATCAGTCAAAGGTTATATATGGAGCTAAGAGAAATATTAATAATATTTTGAGCACAAAGGCAAAAAAATCAAGAGGTCAGGGAGTAAGCAGGAAGGCAATTTATGACCATCAGCAGGAGAAGCCACCTTGAGAGACAGAAATGAATTCTTTGTCTCAGTGAGGGCTAAGAACAGCAGAACAATTCTGTAAATTGTCCTCTTTCTCCCTAGAGGAGGTGGAGGATTGTGTCCTTGCTGCTTATCAGAGACAAAGGAGAGAAAGGCCAGGATCTTGATTTTCAGCCTGAAAAATAATAATGACCCTAAAAGGGATCTTGAATCCCTGAAGGTGAGAGAGAACAGGAGGGCAGCTTTCCTCTCCCCCTGCTGCAAAGACTGTAGCCCAGAGCATGGGAGATGTACCTGTTCTCCAAAATCCTCCCCACAAAGCTGGCTCTTCCTCATTCCTTCGCCACTTTAGCATCTCATGGTCCAGGTGGCTGAGAAGATCCTTCTGGATATCAGGCCTGGAGCTTCCTGCTGTTCACCACTCTCCCTAGTTTCCCTTTTCCTTAAGATGTCCAGCTTTTGAGGTATACGAGCACAAGGGCAGAGACAAGGATTGCCTCAATGGCAACAGGAACAAACTCCAGTCTGCCTAGTGAGGACAGCAAGAGAGACAGGAGGAAGAACAGCCATCAGTCCAGGAATCCTGGACCATTCCTTGTGGTCAAGGATCCCTGAGCTGGCTACAGCCGGGCTTGTCTTCTCTGTAAAGTATAACTGGCCCCACCAAAGGAGCAAGAAGGGACATTCTGTATTCTGTGCCATCAGACTGGTGGATATTCACCTCAGATTTGCCAGGTGGGCTTGATATCTTGTGGAGGGCCAGATGAATGTTATCTGTCCACTCCCTGCTCTGTGCAGAGAAAAGGTGTCCCAAGGAGGCCAGCTCCTTGGTGCCAGGAGGAAGCTTAGCAGAAATCAGGCACCTTGGGCAGCAATGGAGTTGTCAAGTGGCCATCATTGGTTCCCCACCCCCCCTTTTCTGGTACCAGGATCAAAGTCATGACCTTGAACTTGCCAGACAGGCAGACAGGCGCAGCGCCACTGAGCTACACCCCTTGCCCAATCGTTGGTCTCTTGAAGAAGGGAAAGTAGACCAAAGCAGTCAGGCTCCATGGAGGGGCTTGGGTGTTAGAGAACATGTAATAAGGAAGCAGTGCTAGTATTGACAAAGAAGGACTAAATGCTGGAGCCCATAAGGACTATTTGCAAGGGAGGACTGTCCATAATATGTAGGGAGAGAAGATTTGGATATGTTGAATCTGCTCTGAGGCAGGGTCTTAGAAAAGATAACCTTGGAAAAGGCATGCACCCACTATGTGTGTTTGCCCTCCACCAGCATTGCCTGTGTGAACAACTGTGATCCCTTCCACACCACCCATTTTCAGTGCCTCATAATCCAGCTCCAACACGAGGAGACAATTTGTGCTAAATGGACCAGTTATCTCTTATTAGGTTTAATGAGTGTTTCATTGTCAGAGCTCACGGGGATTGGAAGATCTCTGCTTCCAATGACAGGCTGTGTTCAGGAGACCTGCTCAGGGAGAGAAGAGGGCTAGTTTTGGGGACCCTAGACAGAGGCACAGTGGTGGTGGTGGTGGGGAGAGTGGGAAAGACTTAACTAGGAAAAGAACGAAAAAGAAGAAAGTAACATGAATTAATGGCCCAAATGCCAAGCTTCAGAACTGGACATGGTGAAATGATCTATCAAAGGTCTCTCTCTCACACACACACACACACACACACACACACACACACACACACGTCACATTAGAGCCAAGAACAGAACTCAAGCCTCTTTCCTCTCAGGCTAGGACTCACCTGCATGTCTTGCTAACTCTACCTTTCCTACACCTGTACCCCAGATTCATCCCAAATGCTTTTATCAGCAAAAGCTCTCCGTACACTCAAACGGCACTGTCCATTATGTAGCTCTGGTCTTCTGTAGATCTTTGAAGACCAGAGAGAATCAAGTGACCAGAAAGCCAGGGACATTGATGAGATGTCTCATTTTTCTCAGGCCAATGATTTTAAATTCCTTAGATCCCACCCTCATGACCACTGCCTCTTGACCTTCAGCATTCTCCAGTGCCTCCTTGGAGACCTAGAACCACCCATCATTGAGTTAATAAGTATTAGGAATGGGCTACAAGGTAATGGCTGATCTTTGTATCCAAGCTATAGATGAAACTGAATAGGTGTCTGGGATTATGGCCTGATGTTGTATGAAGGACACTGAACATTGAATAAGGTTCATATGAATGAACTATATGGGTTAAGCTTACTTAACCCCAGTTCTAAGAGGTACTATTAAGACACAAACCTTAACAATGTCACTCTAATCCTTACAACTCCCAGTAGAAGCTTGCTAAAGGTTTTGGTAAAGATTAACTAATGAGTGTATACATCCATTCACCCACTCGTTCATCCTTTAAAAACTTGTATTAAAAAGCTTCCCCCATACCAGGCACTGGGCCAAACACTTGAGATACAACAAAGAATAAAGCACTCTTACTTTTTCTCCAGGCACTCACAATCCAATGGGAAAGATGGACAGATGAGTACAACAGTTGGGAAGAGCAGAACTAGAAAAATGCCTATTGTTTTTTTTAAAAAAGAGTACAGAACAAGAGTCCACTAGGAGGCATGAAGAAACTTTTTCTGGAGTTGAGAATTGAAAATTAGGGTTTTCAGTTACAGTGTGAAGTATGGCTTTGGATAAGATAATTCCCTTCTCTGGGCCTCAGCTTCCTGCTAGCCTGATACCCAAATGGTACTCATACTGTGCTTCTAATAGAGAGCCAGGGATGTTCCCTGGAGATGCCTACTGTGGAGGGCCATGAGGTCCATACCAATGTCTAAGAACTGTTCTTGCAACTCGCCAGGTCCATTCCCTCCTTAGGAATTCCTGCCAAGATTCTTTCTGAGACCCAGAGTCACGGGGCCATTTCCTGACTCCCAGCCCTTCCTGCATGACAGCCATAGTCCAGGCAGTGGAGCTTCTCTCTGCTGCTGCCCCGATCTCCACTTCCATGCCAGGGAACAGGCCTTGCAGTGCCTGCCAGACTGGGTCTGCCTGCTGGCTCGGGTGGCATTTCCTAAATGGACAGATGGAGAATGTTGGTTTAATGTCTCTCCAGTGCTTCTAGCCCAGCCTCCAGGACACAGCCAGCAACAAGCTCCTGGCAGGCAACAGCACTTTCCTACCTACACCAGCCCTTGGCCCTGAGCTTCCATTTTCCTCCATCCCCATGCCTTGGTCCATCCCATGCAGAGCCCTGGTCTAGCCCTGGGGACTAGATCCAAGGGAAAGCAGATTCAAAGGGAAAAGGTGCCCTTGCACCAGAAACAAAACAACAAAACAGAAAACTCCAGCTGCTCCTTCCATGGTCCTCTTTCAAGAGTGGCACCACCCTGCATGGTGTGGTTTAAACCAGACACTTGCCAGTCTCTACTCACCACCTTCCCCCCTTTACATCCTGCTGGTTTTCTTTCTCTTTCTTTCTTTCTTTCTTTCTTTCTTTCTTTCTTTCTTTCTTTCTTTCTTTCTTTCTTTCGACAAGATAGTGGTCCATTTCCTTCCATTCCACTATCACCATCTGGTCCATGCTGTGTCACCTCCTCCTACTTCGACCGCTGGCAGTGGCCTTTCACATCTGTTCCTGCTCCTTCATTGGCAGCTCCATTTCCTGCAGTCCCAGGGATCTTCTCAACTCAGATCTGATCACATCACTTCCCTCTCAGAACTCACCCAAGACTCCCATTGCCCTTAGGAGCAGACACACCATCCTTGCCTTGGCTCCACTGCCTGGCAGGAATAATACATCTGCCCTACCTCCCAGCCTCAGGGTGTACTATTTCTCCTGTCCTTTGTACTCCAGCTCCACCAGCTTCTCTGAGTCCTTGGAGCTGGCCATCTTTCCCCCATGGCAGGGCCTCCACACATGCTGTTAGTTTGCTTGTGGTATTCTCCCGCCTGGCCCCACCCCTGACTCGCCTCTGTACTGGGTCCTGCTTACCCCTCAGGCCTCTCCCTAAGCATGGTAGAAGCCTCTCTACTGCCTCCTGACAGGTTAGATCACCTCATTATTGCCCTAAGCGCTCTCTCTTTCCTCCAGTAACTTTGGGCACCCTTGTAATTAGCATATTCCCTGCCTATTTTCTCTGATGGACCTGGACCCCTGGACTAGTGGAGACTGTGCTGGTTATGCGTCCCTGCTGTCGCCAGTACCTGGCACCATGTCTGCTCTTAGGATTTAGGAAAAGAGAGAGATGTCTCTCATTCTGAGTTCTGTAAAGCATTCCATGGAGTGCTGAGGGAGCTAGGCTCCATTTTACAGAGCACAAAGTCAAAGAGCTACTAATTAGATACACAGGAATGTCCCAAGTAGACATCTGATAAGTTCCAGGGAATCATCCTTCCAAGGAGCTGAACCTTCGAAGAAGAGCAGAAATGACATAAAAGTTTATCTTCTGTTGTTCAGGATGAGTGTGTGTGTAGCAGACACTTATTACCGCAAACCTGAAAAAAATATTCCCCAGGAACAGTGAACAAAGCTATAAATATAGCCAAGCATCGGGTGACATCCCCTGAGCACAGTGCAGCGATTTATGGCCAAGTCACACGGCCCTAAAGTGTATTTATAACGGTGTAACTCACTAGTGCTTCTCCTCGCCTGCCTGCCCTCCCTTACTCCCCTGCTCAGTGGTGGCCACACTCCTTGTTCTTCCCCTAGAACAGGATGGCGAAGCCCAGCCCCTCCTTGGAGGTACTTTTATGAGATCTGAGGAGTGGAGCTGTTGCTCCAAAAACTGTGCATCCGAGAACGGGATGTGTCTGCCTTCGAGGTGGCTCATGCCTGTAATCCTAGCTCTCCGGGAGACTGAGGCAGGAGGATGGTAAATTCAAACCCAGCTTGGCCACTCAGTAACTTAGGGAAGAGACCCTGTCTCAAAATTTTTAAAAGAGTGGAGGGTGTGGGCATGGCTGAAGATGTTCCTCAGGGTGAAGGCCTTGAGTTCAATTCTCAGTACTGCAAAAACAGACAACAAATTAATTAAATTAAATTTTAAAAAGAGCTGGGGATATAGCTCTGTGCAAAGGCCCTGGGCAATCCCAAGTACCATAAAAATAAGTAAATAAATAAAATTTTTAAAAAGGGCTGGGAATTTGGGTGTTGTGGTGCATGCCTGTAATCCGAGCACTCAGGAGGATGAGGCAGGACGATTGTCATTAGTTCCAGGCCAGTCTGAACTACATAGTGAGACCTTGTCTCAAAAAAATCAAAAATAAAATTGAACAAAATAAAAAGACAGCTGAAGATACAGTTCTGTGGGAAGATCTAGGTTCAATGCCCAACACATGCACACACGCACACACACACACACACAACCTGTCATCATTCATGTTCCTAGTGAATTTTGAGCATTTAAGTAAGGAATTCAAGGTCTGGCCTTCACCTACCTTCTGGCTTGAGGGAGAGCTTTGTGCTTTATTCAGCTTTATTCACATGCCACATGGTCCCTCATTTCTAACCCTGTAATGTTTGCTAAGACAGCCCAGGGGTTTGTACCTCTTGCCTCTTTGTCCCTGCTTTCTCCTCCACCCAGGGACTTTTCTCTCCAAGTCTCCAGTCGAAACTCTATCAAGGTCCAGCTCAGATGCAATATTTTTCCTAAGCTACCAACTGAATGAGGAGCCTTTTGATTCTCTGCTCCATGCCATTGGTGCTCTGTTCCACATGGCTGGCCACCTGTTTACTATGACAGACGCCTGCAGTCTTGAAGCCTGAGAACCTTCCTGCATGCGTTGAGTTTCCCCTCAGAGTCTACTCAGGATCCACTAAGAGAATGTTTTTCAATCAAATTTCTGTCCCTTCTCTAGACCCAGTCCCCTTTTATCTTGTATGACATGGCTGGCACTCCAAGAGGCATTGGACAGGTGTTATTTTCAATTGTTACAAGGGACATGTTATCATTCTCTCTTTTGTGTAGGGAAACTGAGGTAAAGAGGGAAGGTCAAGTAGCTCACCCCCAAGACACATAGCAAGTGTCAAACACTACCACATTCTTTCTATTCCTGGAGCCCTTGGGCTGTGTGTTCTTTAGCCAGATTTCTATCTAATGTCCAGGGTTTGCATTCTCTCCTCCGAGAACTGCTGGCAGCCCACCAAGGGCCTGCCTCTTTGTGGCTGTTTACTGTGGTTATCAAAGTGGAAGAAGCTTGTCAAAGATCCCTGTGAGGGAAAGAAGCAGCTCCAGGCCCTGTCTGTGTTCTAGGACGTTCTTCTCAAGGCAAAGAAGCTCATAGCCATTACAAGGAACAGAGGTGAAGTCACCTGTCAGCTGCTACTCCTCACAGTGCTGATCTCCTCTCCTTTCTCCACCTTTCTGCCTAGATTTTACCACCATCTCTGTTAGACTCCAAATGGAGCCAGAAGCAAAGGTGAGTGGAGAGTTTCCTTTTTTTTTTTTTTTTGTACTGGGGATTGAAATCGAGACCTTGTGCTTTCGAGGCAGGAGCCAGAACCACTGAGCTAAATCCCCAGTGAGTTTCCTTCTTACATATCATGAAAGGCTCACCTTGGGGAAAAAATTACATGCCTTTCTAATTCATCCTGAGCTAAGTCACCAGCATGTGGCCTAGAACTCTCAATAAAATCCAAAATAGCCACTAAGAAGTGATTTCATTGAAAAATTGCTATGAATATTATTGATAAGTCTTCTCTCTTCTATTATTGCTTATGACGGCAAAGTGACTTAAAAAAATGGTGGATGCTATGGAGATTCTTCCTCACTCTACCTCCTCCTATAACTTCACCTATAACTCCAAGTTTGGATACAGAACTCAGCACATCCATACACAAAGAGAATGAATTTGAGGAAGTTTACTTGTGGTGATACAGCTTCTTTTTCTTGAACTGTGTTTTTAGTTTTGAGGAATGATCTCATTAAGTTGCTCAGGTGGGACTCAAACTTGGGATCCTCTTATCTCAGCCTCCTTGAGTGCCAAGATTACAGGTCTGTGCCACCATGCTCAGCTCTTTCTTGAATCTTTATTTCAGAACCTTGAGAACTGCCCTATTGCTCAAACTTTCCCTGGTCAATGAGTTCATATGAAAATGTGAGAGCTTCCACATCCTGCTCCCTTACCCTCTGTTTTTGACACTTTCCTGTTGCTAAGATAACAATACCTGGAGGAGAGGTTTATTTTGGTTCATAGTTTCAGTCTACGGTCAGCTGCCTCCAAAGGCAGACACAGAATGACAGAGTGGCATGGTGGAGGAACAGGTGCTCAACCCATGGCAGGCAGGAAGCAGAGAGAAGTGAGGAGTCAGGAAGGGAGCTACACCCTTCCAGGTCAAGACCCCAGGGACCACCTCTAACAGCACATTCAGCTCTGATGTCATCAGTGGATCAACCCACTTATCAGTGGATAGTGCCCCCGATCCAGTCATTTTCCAGACACATGAGACTTTTGGGGACATTTTATATCTAAACCATAACACCCTCACAACCCCCCAATGTATTTTAAGTGAGAATTGGGTTAATACCTTAACCAAAGGAGTAAATGCCTGGCCCTGTAATTATAGACCCCTTTATAAGGAGGAAGCATTTGGGGGATATTCCAGAGAGACCTTCTAGAGCCCCTGATATTACACCTAATCTAAGAGTCTACAGCCAAACCTCTCCTAAAGTTAATGAGACTCACTCATCTGGGCCCTTTTAAGGCCCTGGGTGGCACCTGCTAGTAGTTCACAGGGTTCTGCATAAGAGATGCAAGAGGAAGATACTGTAACCACAACTGGTTCACTCTGTTGCCTCTTTCCATGGTGATTTCCTTTCATTCTGCTTCCCCACTCATGTCGGTGGTGAAGGAGCCATGGCTCCTAAAGTGGTAAAGGAGCCAGGCAGGGGGCCTGGTCAAGTGGAAGCTGCATTGAGGAAACAGCTAAAGCTGGATTAAAGGGTATGTGAAGTAGCCTACAATTAATTGCCTGTGTCTCCAGGTGTTGCTCGCTAGACAGCATCATGGCAGGTAGATAGATGCAGGACCCAGGGGTCCAGGTGGCAAGAACACTACCTCCAATGGCCAGACCTGGAAGCAGTGCTTAAATGTATGGTGCCAGATGCCAAACTGTGGGAAATTCTCCTACTCATCAAATGTAGAACGCTGTGGGCTGTGGGCTTGGTTCTTTCTCATCGATGGCATTGTCAAAATGGAAGTTCTTTCCTGCCAGGAGGCTACTTACTGTGTTTTCTTTTTATTGTACTGAGGATTGAACTCAAGACCTTTCCACTGAGCTACATTCCCAGCCCCCCTCCCTATTTAGACAGAGTCTCACTAAGTTGCCCAGGCTGGGCTTAAACTTACCATCCTCCAGTCTCAAGTTCCCAGAGTTCCCCTATATTTTTGTATGAAATTATTAGATAAAAATTATTGACATTAAGAAGTTGATTATAACATGACACTCAGATTATCCCCGAAGAGACATTTATTAAGAGGATGGGGCAGTTTTCTAATAGGCTCTTGGATTCTTTAACAATCCAGTTAGTGAAGAGTAGTGATTTGTGTGGATACACTGGGAAAAGTTTTACATTTCTTGGTGATTTGATAAGGATAACACTCATAAAACTCGTAATAGGGTGCTGCAACAGGACAAACTAGTTGGTGACTATTATCTTTGAAAACAACTATTTAAGATTTGCTATTATATAAGAAAACTTGAACTACCCCAAAACTTCCAGTTTAACTATGAAAAAAACTTGTGGAGAGCTTTTTCTTTTTTTTCAAACCTGAATCTTTTTTTTTGTACCAGGGATCGAACTCATGACCTTGTGCTTGCGAGGCAGGCGCAGTGCCACTGAGCTAAATCCCTGGCAATCAAATCTGCATCTTAAGATATGGTATTACCAATAGCAATTTAAAAGTTGAAAGACAGGGCCAGGGATTTAGTGCCACTGAGCCTGCCTTGCAAGTGCAAGGTGCAAGCGCAAGGTCCTGAGTTCAATCCCTGGTACCAGGGGAAAAAAAAGTTGAAAGACACTTTTAAGAACTATCAATAACAACAACAGTAAAAAATTTAATCAGCCATGCTAGAAGAAAACTAAAGGAAGGAAACTGAATTATCTTTTTGCTCTATCTATAAAACACATTACAAAATCACTATGAAGTATCACTCAAAGAGTCTACAGCCAAAAGAAGTACAAATCATATCCTGTCAGGCAGTCAATTAATACAAATTATGTTATTTTTCTAAATTTTGAATGATTTTTAAAATTTGCCCAGTTTTAAACATTTATAACTGGTTATGATGCCTTTTCCTATTTTATTTATTTTATTTATTTTTTTGGTACCAGGAATCGAACTCGGGTCCTTGCGCTTGTGCAGCAGGCGGTGAAACCACTGAGCTAAATTCCCCGCCCCCTTTTCCTATTTTAAAAATAAAATTTCACTTTGTACCTAATTTTGAATTCTTTTTCTTTATAGGAGAAACTCCCAGTCCGCATAAGCTTCAGACCCCGTAAATTGGACCTGCCCCTGTCTACGGAGTTGGTGAGCTATCAAGGCAGAGTTGAACAGTAACAGTAGCCCCACTTTGCCTGAGCTTTTGCTCTGGGCCAGCACTGTTCCCCGTGCCCCACAACCACACAGACAAGGAGGTGCCAGGTGGCCTGCCCAGGGTCATTCAGCCGGCGGCGGCTGCAAAGCTCAGGGCAACCCAGGAGCCTGTTCCCGCTGTTTCCTCACCGTCCTGGACCTGACAGGGAGTTTGGAATCCCACACCTTCGCAGCTGGAGAGCGTGCCTCAAGGGCCCAAAGGGGTCCACCAACTGGCTTGAAGACGCACAGCTGGCAAATGGTAGACACAGGATTCATTCGACAGCTCACAGGCCTCAGAGTTCTCCCTCCCACATCACCAACTCTGGCCTGAGCCCAGGGCCCCTGGCAGTCACTCTGGGGCGGGTGGAGGGGACGCTCGGCAGGTGTCCTCCAAGGGCAGCTTGGGGTTGGGGGGATTGGCACAGGCTGGAGCTCAGGGAGAGATGCTTTCAGGACTCCCATGTCGCCAGGGGCAGCAGCCAGCGACTCAGCAGCCCCCACCCCTTCATTAACTGCAAGATAAACTGGAGCCACAAAAGGTCGGGGAGGGAGCCGGGACCCAGCTGCCAAGCAGGCCCAGTGGCAAGGAGAGAGGGGTGGCGGAGGGAGGAGGAGGAGTGAGGGGGACCCAGAAGCAGGGGGACCCCCAGATCGCCCCGCCCTGCTTTGGGCACAATGGGCTGTCAGACGGTGGGGAGGGACGGGACCCCTCGCACAGCCCCCTTGGCAGAGCCAAACCTGCTGTGGTAGAATAGGGACACTGAGAATGTGGTCTTGGGTGAGGCTGGCCAAGGGGGGAGTGGGGTTTTGAGAGAGAAAGGAGACAGTTGCTGCCTTCTGCATTCTCTCTCCATAGGAAAAGTTCCTAGCTCCTCTTTTCCAAGCATTCCCCTCTCCTTTGTCCCAGGAGCCCCTGTGCATGTCAGCAGTGCCTTCCCAGTGTGGCCTGGCCCATCCTGTGCTCTGAGCTCACCTCTTTGCTGAAGAAGCTGGCCCCTGCCCTCCAGTCCCCTTCTGTCTTACCTTGTCAGAGCTGCTCTTAACAAAGCTCCATAAAGCCTCTGGCCCAAACAATACGATTGATTTTCTCACAGTTGTGGAGGTTCTAAGTGTCTGGGCAAGGTGTTGCCTCCCCAGCTTGTGAGTGACTTCTCACTTTGTCCTCACAGGGTCTTCCCTCTGTCCTAAGTTCCTTTTTATGTTTATGTTCTGTTTCGTTTTCAGTATGGAAGGATTAAACTCAGGCAGGGCCTTCACACTGAGCCACATCCCTGTACTTCTTTTATTGTTTTGAGATAGCATCTAAGTCACTAAGTTGACCATGCTGGGCTTGAACTTGTGATCCTTCCTGTCTCAATCTCTCAGGGTGCTGAATTTGCAGGCATGCACCACCACACCAACTTCATTTCTTCTTCTTTTTTTTTTTTTGGTAGTAGGGATTGAACTCAGGACCTTGAGCTTGTGAGGCAGGCGGTGGAACCACTGAGCTAAATCCCTGGCCCTTTCATTTCCTCTTATTGAAAGGACATCTGTCCTATTGGGTTAGAGCCCACTCTGATAACTTATTTAACTTAATTATCTCTCTAAAGGCCTTATCCCCAAATACAGTCAATTCTGAGGTACTGGGGTTAACTCTTCAATATATAAAGTTTGGGGGATCCAGTTCAGCTCATAATATCTGCCATGTCCTGACCAGCCTGTTACAAGGTCCTGCAGAAACAAGATTACCTCAGCCCCCCTCACATATCCAGGACCTCTCAGAAGTACCTAGTCACATGGTCCCATGTTACCTGCCAAATATAAACAGGCACTCAGGGATGCCAGCTACTTGGTACCCAGTATAGAGCTGATCTCTGGCTGCTTTCTCAGCAATTTGGGAGCCTCCTATTGCAGAATAATAACTCTTCAGTTCCTTTGGTCCTTTAGGAATCTCTTCTCTTCCTCCTTCATATGTTTCAATTCCTTTAAATAATTTACTGTGAATAGACTCAAAGTTTCCAAAAATGATATAAAAATGAATATATTGGAGAGCCTTGTTCCTACCACCAGCCCCCCCCCCCAGGGTACTAGTTTAATTAGCTTCTGCTTTATCTTCCCAGTGCTTCATTATGCAAATATAAGCCCATACTAATACATGCATGTGTGTTCCTTCTTTCTTATCCAAATGGTAGTATTCATCGATTTACCCCCTGGTTTTTTAACCCAACAGCATACCCAAATTCCCCCATAGCTATACAGATGGCATCACGTTGCTTTTAAACAGCCGCATAGATTTTATTATATGGTTTGGTGTTATTGGCTTTTTGTGGCTGTGTAAAATACCTGAGGAAATCAACTTAGAGGAGGAAAGGTTTATTTTGGCTCATTGTTTCAGAGGTCTCAGTTCTCTGTCAACTGGCTTCATTGCTTGCAGCAGAAGCATTGTGGCAGAGGGAGTGGTAGAGGAAAGCTGTTCTCCTCATGGCAGGCAGGAAGCAGAATGAGAAGGAAAAAGCCAGAGATGAAGGGTACAGGAACAAGATACAGTCCCAAAGGACCCCCTCACCTTCAACTAGGTCCCACCTCCAGGGTTTCCATCACCTGCCTTTCAGTAATGCCATCAAATTATTAATCTATCAGGGGATCAATCCACAAGTTAGAGCCTTCATGATCCAGTCCCCTGTAGAGGGGGCACTTGAGTTGCTTCCAGGGAACCTCTTCACCACATAGGCCAGGCACTCAGGCCCTCTTAAGAGGAATGTCTTGAAAAGCCTTAATCAATCAGAGTTTTCTAACTCCTAGAGAAATGAGGCCCTAGAAGGAAGGCAGTAGAGAAGGCAGAAAGGCCCCAAAGGGGCAGGGGTTGTGTCTACCCCTTGCAGGATATACTGGTTTTCTTGTTTCTAAGACAAAATACCCAATGCCCCAAACTGAAAGAAAAAGAGGTTTAATTTGCTCAAGATTTTGGTCAGTGATCAGCTGATTCCAAGGCAGATACATTGTGGTAGAAAGGTGTGGTCCAACAAAGATGTTTAGTTCATGGAGGCCAGGAAGCAGAGCAAGGAAAGAGTGCCAGAGAGAAAGGGACCAGACATAGATCCAAGGCTACACCTCCATGACCTACCCAGACATAACCAGGATCATGCTTGACTAATCCACAAGGCATTTCTTAATCCATTCACATCAACACCATGATTAACCATCACACAAGGGATGATATGACTGTTGTCTGGCAGGCATGGGGCATGACCTGGGTGGGTTCTCTTCTCACCAGGCTGATAGCAAGATGTTGGATGCCAGGGATTTAGCGCAGTGGTTCCAGACCCTGCCACGCAAACGAAAGGTCCCAAGTTTGATCCCTGGTACCAAAAAAAAAAGATGTTGGCTGAGCACAATCTCAGCTGGAGCTCTGAGTCCTCTTCCCAGTTCTTGAGATCATTGACAAAATTCACGAAGATGATGCTACAAAAGTTCAAACCAGACCAATTTCTGCTTTGCTGGTTTAAGACCTCTGGGATTGGTGGTATCACTGGGAAAAGCAAACCTTACAAGCCATTTCCCACTTCTCTTGTATCAGTTTTCAATTGCTACATAACAAAATGGCACAAATTGAAATTTAAAACCACACACATTTATTTGCTTGTAATTTTATACATCAGAAATCTGGGCAGAAAGAAAGACATGGAACCTGGAGTATGGTAATGTGTGGGCAAAGGAAGGCAATAAATAGCCTAGTGGGTCTAGAGCTGTATTAGTTACTTTCCCATCACTGGGACAAAATTCCTAACACAGCTTAAAGGAGAAGAAGATTTGACTCAAGGCTTCAGAGGATTCAGTCCATGCTTGGCTGGCTCTAAGGCAGAAGCATGGTGGACAGGCATAGCAGAGGGAAGCTGCTCTTCCCATAGAAGTCAGGAAGCAGACGAAAAAGGGAAAACCTGGGGACCAGAAGGTGTTCAAGGTCACATCTCCAGTGACCCACCTCTTTCTTCCAGGCCCCACTTCCCAACAGCACATTCAGCTATGAACTGATCAATGGATGAGTCCACTGATGAATATAGAGAACCCCCCCGCCCATGATCCAATAACCTTCCAGAAGCCCTACTCCAAACACATGAGACTTTTGAGAGACATTTTACATCTAAACCATAACAAGGGCCCATAATGCAGGACAAAGGGCAGATGGGCCTGAAGAAGCCTGGCAGGCATGTGGCGTGACCTGTGAGTGGATTCTCTTTTCAGGGTCTCACTAGGCTGAAAGCAAGATGTTGGCTTGGCACAATCTCATTGGGAGCTCTGAGTTCTCATTTTAGTCCTTGAGGTCATTGACAAAATTCAGTTTCTTGTGTTGTAGCACTGAGGCGCTTGGTTCCTGAAAGCAAGCCCTCTTCATAGGTGGTCTGCAGCATGATTGTCAGCTGCTCCAAGGCAGCAGGAGATAATTTCTGCTTCCTTGAGTTTCTTCCTCCAGGATGGACTGTCTCTCTTTTAAGGCCTTCCATTCAACTCAGCAATCCCGCTCAGGATAGCTTCCCTTCTGATGAGCTCAAATCAATTGGACCCAAATCAATTTGGGGCCTTAATTACATCTGCAAATTACCTTCACCAAGTTTGTGTCTCTTCTGCCCTCATCACTGCCATTTAACTCCCACCAGGACCAGCTATACCTCTTGTCCTGAGTCCCTTTCCCACATAAGTCAGCCACTCAGGCCCTTTCTCCCTTCCCTTGGAGGACCAAATGTCTCAGAATATTGCTGCCTGATCAGACTCCACATTGCATCAACTCTAACAGGATCAGGTCTAGCACCTTTCACTTGGCATTCTCAGCCTCCATGGTGGACCTTGAATCCAAGTTGTCAGAATTCTAATGATTCGTTATTGTTATTGTCATTGTACCATATTGCCTCACAGCTTGCTTTGTGCTCAGAGCCATTTGTTAACATTCTGGGGTGTGTGTGTGTGTGTGTGTGTGTGTGTGTGTGTGTGTGTACTTTTGTCTACTTACCATACAGAGAGCCTGGCTCAGTACCTGAACTCAATAAACAAAAATTACATGAAGAGTATGGTCCTGGAAGCCCTAATATATCTTCTCCAATTCTAATGAATGACATTTTGAAACATTCTTTCTGTTTTCATACCTTTTCCCAGTATCAGGGACAGTGCAAGGGAAAAAAGCAGACATCCAATAAATGCTTGTGGAATTCAAATGGCAGAAGAGAGTGAAAGAGAAGGCAGGATAGTGTGTAGAGACTTAGGAAAGGGGAGGAGTGGGAATCAGTGGAGCTGGGCCTGTGGGGTGGGACTGGGGACAAAGAGCTATCTGCCATCAGTACCCAGCCTGAGCAGGCCTGGCAGCAGAGCTGAGTCTAAGTAGCACTTTCTTGCTAAGTGCTCTTCAGGGAGGTGTAATGTGTCTCTATTTAAAATTAATTTTTCAGAACTGGAAGCCCCACTCTGAAAGGCAGTGCTCCCTTGGTGGCTTCTGGCAAGATTGAAAAGACATAACTTTGGAGAGAAACACAATAAACCAGAAATTTTCTCCCAGGTGAGCAAAAAACTGCCTCTCTCCTTCTGAAGAGAGCATTTTCCAGAACTTTGCTCATCAAGTAGCTGGTTTGCAAGTCATTTCTTCTATTTATAAGTGAGCCACATTCCAGTGGGCTGTCTGTTCCCCTCTCTAATAGATGGGCAGAGGCCTAAGCAATCCACATATATGGCAGAACACAAAAGTAATTTCTTCTTGGCTCGGGTCTATGTTTCTGTATTTACATGTGAACAGAGTAGCATCAGATGCTTTGGAAATTTGCAATATTTTCTGCCAATAAGGAAGCACTACTGTATAGTACAGTGGACTTGGAGGACTGGCTCAAGTCAAATGTTTAGGAGGTGTAGATATAGAGGTATAAAGAATCACTAATTCACCCCACCAGTATTTACTGAATGCCTACTGTGTGCTTAGTATTGTTCTAGGCGCTGGAGAAAGAACCCTGATAAAGGGCCGGGGATTTAGCTCAGTGGTTTCGCCTCCTGCTGGGAAAGCACAAGGACCCGAGTTCAATCCCTGGTACCAAAAAACCCCCCAAAAACCCAAGAACCCTGATAAAACAAACCAAAACAAAATCTTCTACCTTTATGGAGGGAAATAGACAATTAATATATTAGATAAGTAAATATTATAGTATGTCAGCCATTGATAAGTGCTAAGAAGATAAATAAAGTAGAAAGGGGGGGATTTGAAATGTTGGGGGGGTTGCCAGGGAAAGACTCACTGAAGAGGTGACATTTGATATAGACATGAAGGACACGAGGGAGCTGGATATGCAGAAATCTGGGAATGCATTTTAAAGAGATTACAGCAGGTGTAAAGGCTGGGAGGTGGAGCATATTAATGCATTTGGGAGCAGCAAAGAGGACAGTAAAAAGATCAGAAAGGTAGTGGCCAGAAAGGAAATTTGGGCTTTAGAGGTCATTATAAAGACTCTGGGCTTTAATATTAATAAGATGTGCTACCAGTGGAAGGTTCAGAGCAGCCACAGTGTTCTGCTGTGTTAAGAACAGATTGCAAAGGGAGACAGGGAGAAGCAGAGAGGCCAGGGAGGAGTTTGCTCATATAGGAGTGACTTGGACTATGGGCAGCGGAAAGGAGATGGAATCTGAATTCATTTTGAAGATAGCATGAGTATGATTAATTGATGGGTTTGTGTGAGGTCTGAGAGAAAGACCAGAGTCAAGGAGGACTCCCAGGATGATGGCCTGGGTAGCTGCAGCAGGATGCCTCTGTCATCCTATGGGGGCAGAAAAAGAGAGCAGGCAGAGTAGACCTGGGTGGGTGAGGGTGCAGGTGGGAGGAGATCAGGGGCTTGGCCATGGAGATGAAGCACCTCTGACACACCCAGGCAGGGAAAGCAAGTAAACTGTTGGATAACAGAATCTAGAATTCAGGAAGGAATATTTTGCATAGAAATATCACTGTGGGAGTCATTAGCATATAGATAGTATTTAAAGCTGCAAGACTGGATGAGATCCCCTCAGATGTGAATGAGTGTGGATAAGAAAAGAAAAGAAGTCTATGGA